GTAAATAACAATCAGGCTTCATACAGTACAATAGATAATGTTAGGCAATAAAAGATTGAAAAAATTATGACGTAAAATAGTTTCTAATAGCAACACAATTGATATCAAGTGCTTTTTCTGGCACTCAGGCCTTTTTTATGCAGGGAAGAGTGATGCTGATGGCTATGGGGGCATTACTGACACACATGAGCAGTTGATTGCACTTCAGCACCTGTTCACCAACTGTCTGGTTCCTCTGGAGGTGGTGGTTGACAGGAAAATTGAGTCCATCATGGACAGCATCTCCCACCCCCTACATGGCACACTGGTTGGGTAGAGCCACTACGGACTGGCTCTGTGACCTATGTGCCTTGGACAGCTGCGTTTATTTACCTTCTTACTCTACATTTTTGTTTGCTCAGCTACTCTTTGTACTATACACTAGATTGCTACTTACTGGAGGTCTACCATCTGTTTGATGTTATTAACTTAAAGGGGAACGCCACCTAAATTAAAAAAATTCCAAGATGTTATATCCATGGCCAAACAAAGTTCAGTCAATAAACATGAGTTACTCTCTCTCAAAGTCAAACACGCAAAGAAGTAAGTCTCAAACTTGTGATGTCATCAAGTATAAAGTATTATAAATTAAAGTATTATAAAGTAGTAAAGTATTGCTGTTTTCTTTTTTTATACCCAAATGAGCTTTATTCTATAGAGACAGAGTGCATATCGCTCTCCAGTGACTTTGTACTGCCTGAAAGTTTCTCCTTGTCTCGTACGTCTGCTGGCAAACAACACAAAAATACCTAAAAGCTGCTTTGTGATGGGATGCACTACCAACATCGTAAAGAATCCATAACTAAGTTTTTACAAGCTGCCAAACCAAAACTGACTTTTTAAGCAATGTGATGTGAGGCATCGGCAGGGATACATATGAAAATGGCCCCGGATAAACATCTGCTTATCCGGGGCCGGGTTGAAGGGGCAGCTGGCCAAGCAAAGCACCACAGACATCCCTTGCCCTGGCAACACTTGTCAGCTCCTCCTGGGGGACTCCAAGGTGTTCCCAGGGCCGGATGAGATATGTAATCCCTCCACTGTGTTCTGGATTTCCCCCGGGGCCTCCTACCAGTGGGACGTGCCCGGAACACCTCGAACAGGAGGCACCCAGGTGGCATCCTGATCAGATGCCAGAACCACCTCAACTGACACCTTTTGATGTGCAGGAGCAGCGGCTCTACTCCGAGCTCGCTCCAGATGTCTGAGCTCCTTATCCTATCTCTGAGGCCCAGCCACCCCACAGAGGAAACTCATTTCTGACGCTTGTACCCACAATCTCATTCCTCTGGTTTATATTAGACCCTAGGAATGACATGTATGAATTTTGAAAATAGGCGTTGTTCCCCTTTCAGTGCAGCAGGCTCAAGAGCTGTCAGTACATAGCACACACACAGTATGTATTTGGAGCACTGCTTTTGGTTATACATTACCCATACTGCATAGGTTTCAATGCACAGCAGTACACTGGTTTGAATAATGATTTTTTTTTTTTTTTTTCTCATTGACATTCAGTCTGTGAAGGTAACTCAGCAGCTGGTGTGCAGGGTGTCCACATGAACAGATGTTCTGCACATGCCTGTTTGAGGGTGTGCATGCAATAATTAAAATAAATAACTAAACAAACAAAAACAACAAATGTATTATTTTCGGATACATTTGGAGCTGTTTTAGCTGCTAGTTGACTGTATCTATCACAAGGCTGCTCATTGTTAATGTACACTAACGCCAAGTTACAGATTAACGTTACGTTACACCTAACGCTAACTTCATTTTCTGTACATTCATATTTTTTTTTAAATTGCTAACATATACATTGATACTAGAACAGACACATTAGAAACATTTCTTTGCCTCGTGAAATATATAATTAGGTTAAGTTAAAATATGTCATCTCATGTTAGTGTCCGCAGTCTTACCTCTCCTCACAGTCCCTGCATCTCACGTTCACTTGTAACACTTTACTTAAGAGTTCCTCCATGTTGTTCACAAACTAAACGAGTCTTTCACTGACACAGTGTAGAGTAGACCGGTTAAAGTAAAAGAAGCGGTCAGTCCCGAGAGGCGTTGTCTTCTATCACACAGACCCCATTTTGTTTGTTGTCACTTCAGTACTTTTGATTTGGCGCTTTTCAGCCGCCAACTGAATCGCCCTGGAAACGGAACATGAATTCTTCTTCTTCTGATGAATTAGCGGCAGACCAGACGCAGCAAAGGCACATTGCTGCTCCCTGCAGGTCATTTGTAGAACTTCATTAACTGAGTTGTTTCACAATCTTATGCGATGAGTATTGATTTCAGTGAATGATTTGTGACTCCAGTTTCTGACAGCTCTGTTTGCACAAGGCTTCTGTCTGTCTGATAGTTGGTGCAGTCAAACAGTGTGGTGCATTTTCCACATAGGCGCTTACGCTTACCAAACTGAGCCTAGTTATCACCACATTGTTGCTACCGCCCATTCTTGTATTTTATCTGTACTTTACTTATTTTAATGACTGCACACAACACACCATTTGATCTTTATCTGTGTCAGTGTTTCCAAAAAGTAGTTTGGCTGTATATATATATATATATCTATATCTATATATATATATACACACACACACATATATATATATACATATATATAAATGTAGAGTTATTAAAAAAATCAATTATTTAATTCAATCATTAAGTTATAATTTTAGATTTAGCAGGTTTTGATATACATACATAACAAGTAATGACACGTAATGTAATAACAGTGGAGACACTTTTCACCAGTTGCAATGGCTGATGCAGTTCTTACCTTAAATGCCTGTGTGTGTGTGTGTGTGTGTGTGTGTGTGTGTGTGTGTGTGTGTGTGTGTGTCATCACAGCGAAATATGGTCCTAGTGACACCAATTGTAGAGGGAACTACCACAGAAGCTGTTTGTGAGCACTTTACTAGTGTTTATATATCTGTCTGTGGACAGATTGTCAAAGTGATAATACTGCAACCATGCAAGTTGCAGCCACAAAACTTTACAGATGTGTAGTTGAGATCAAACTGAGCTGGTGATGCTTTCCTAAGATGTTTTCTGACAGTTATTGCAGAAATTCTTTGGTTGTGCAAACCAGATGTTGCATCAGCTTTTCAGCTGGCTGATCTGAGATGATCTTGCTGGTGAAGGCGCTGGATGTGGAGGTCTTGGACATAGTGGCAAATTCACAGAAACAACACCAGAGAAAGCTGATGGTAGGGAAATGAACATTCACTTCATGGGCAACAGCTCTGGTGGACTGTCCTGCTGTCACCATGTTAATGGCATGTTTCGTAAAAACTTCTGACATCTTTGGCAGTGTGTTGTGTGATCAAACTGCAATATTTTACTGTGATGATCTCAAGGCACACCTGTGTAGTAATGATGATGTTTAACCAGCATCTTGGTATGCCTCACCTGTCAGATGAATGGATTATCTTGGAAAAGAAGTGCTCACTAACACAGATTTTAACTAATTTGTGACCCAAATTTGAGAAAAATGTAACTATTGAGTGCATTAAAAAGTCTTTAAATTAAACCTGTGAAAAATAAGAGCAAAAAAAAAGTTTGTTCAGTATGTCCTGCAGCACAATCTTGCTATAAAATTGGGTGGATCTGCTCAAGGTTTCATGTTGGCTTTGCAGCTTCCTGAAAAGTGGGATCAGACTGGATTTCACTGGGTGTAATTTATTGACAGGGTGTGGTGAAAAGCGGGCATGACAGGAAATAGTTTGGGTCAGGGTTGTAATGCATAAACTGTGCTGAGCTGGAGCTGGGATGGCTTGAGGGTGAACAGTTGTTCACAAAGTTGTAAATGATAGCTTCTTATCAAACACTATTGATCTCACTATCTCTACACTATGCTGCTAAACAGTGCTTCTTCTTCTCTGCTGATTGAATGAAACGAGAATGCTGTTATTGATGAGGCCGTGCATCAAACCATCCGACACGTTCTTGGTTTTACTCATAACTGTCTTGAAGTCTGAACACAGATCAGTAAATCCATTACACTTCTGCTGGCCTATTTGTCCAGTATCAAATCAACTACCTGCTGCCTGGGCCCAACAGGCAGGGATTTAGTAGTTGATACCACACAGATAACAATTCAATTAGATTATACTAAACTAATGTTTAAACTGTGATGTCTAAACATTTGTTTGTGTAACACGCCTCCTGTTAAAGGTGTTCCAGGCACGTCCCACTGGTTGGAGGCCCCGGGGTAGACCCAGGACATGCTGGAGGGACTGTATATCTCATGTAGCCTGGGAATGCCTTGGGGTCCCCCAGGAGGAGCTGTAAAGCGTTGCTGGTGAGAGGGATGTCTGGGGTGCTTTACTGTGACCTAGCCCCGGATAAGCGGATGAAAATGAATGGATGGATGGATTTCACTCTTAACAATATAAACAATCAGTATTTACTGAATTAGAGTTCGGTCCCACTCCTTCCCTGAAATCGGCTGGATGTCGGAGAGCCTCACGATTTCAATTTCTTTTTCTTTTGAATGCAGCTTTACAGTCAATTTATGTGCCTAGAGGCTAGTTGATAAATGAGCCTCCTTGTAATGATTATATTGGCTGTGCTGTTTCACTATCTGTAAAAGATCCCAGTGAAGACCCTGTGCTTAAACTGACATTTGGGGCTTTATTTTCCCACAGGCGTGAATCTGTATTTCTCCTCTTTACCTTGCAATTGAGTTTTCATAGTGGTACAATCCTGTCTCTGATTGAATTACAACAGCTGTGCATAAACTCTCAACCTCATGGATCTGGCAAACTGCCCTCGCTGGATCATATTTCAAGTCTCACCTGTACCTGGGCATGGCCACACCACCACCATCTGTGTTTCAATGCAGATCTGTTTGCTGTCTGATCACCCGCCAAGAGCACAGGCAAGTCTCCACAGTCGTCATGATATAAGCAGATATGAATAAAAAGAAAAAAAACAGGAGGTCTGTTGGCTGAGTTGTGGTATAGCTTGTTTATTAATGGTATATTTTTGCATAGGGAAACATACTCATTTCCAGTAATGAATTCATCAGCACTTGCTGACAGCAATGGCTAAATATGGTTATAATGACATATTATCAAAGATGTTAATATCCCCCACAGCAGAACAACATTAGGCCGGAAACACTGCTGTCACTCAAACTATGAGACATTCAAACAGGAAAGGAAAATCCAACCTTGAACAGACAGCTGTCAGTCCGTGACTTCTGTTTGAAATGGCCATGAGAAGACATAACTATGCCACAGTGCTGACATCATTTCCTGTCCCTGTCTAAATGCAGTCTTAGAGGAACAGTTTACATCATGCAAATAAAGGTTGATTATTAACATTAGCTTCAGCGGAAAAACACCCAAAGGAAAAAGTACTTAAAGCTCTTGTTAAAGCTGCTACAAACTACATCCAGTCCAGAGCAGCAGCCCTTTCCACAGTGACCATCTCAGCGCTCCAGCTCTCCCAGTCTGAAAAACAAATGGCCCATACCTCATCTATTATTTTCTTATACTGGGATACCAAGTCGTGCATTATTACGTCTTTCTGATTGGCTGTCAGGTGTCATTTAAAATCAAATATTAAGTTAATCAGTCACGTTAAGTGAGAAAGTTCTGGTATAGTCTTTAATGTGTTCTTTGGAAAGCGATCGTGGTGTGATAATTCACTCCAAGGTGTTCCAGTATAGAAAATAACACTTACGACAGGGGGCGCCACTCTGCTTCACCTCAACCTTGTCTTTTATTTTGAGGTATTGGGGGATTTCATCATATATCACTGATAATCAAAGATTTAATGTTGGTATCCCACAGCTTAATGAATGATATAATGTCCTGATGTCCTCTTAATGTGAAAAGGACTGTGGTCTGTGTGGACTGTAGTCATGCAATAACTGATGAAAGCTGTTCATGCCTATGCTCTCTCTGATGTAAGGGATATTTATCTGGAAGCAAGCAAAGCAGTCCTTTACTATAATATCTGAAACATTATGAGAAATAAAAATTCTTAAAATATGAGACTGCATCAAAATGTTCTCTGAGAAACACCTCTTTCGTTCATTACAAACTGTCTTCAGCACATGGAGTAAACGGTGTGCAGAAGCAATGTACCCGCGGATACAGAGGGGAATCAATATGGCATCACTGTCACAGGAAACTCTACAAAATCTGATTTTCAGTAACTAAACAGAGGTTTTCCAATGGCTGCGAGTCTGAATTACAGAAAGGGTTTTGAAGGGCCATTAAAAAATAAAATTCAAGTAAGAAACAGCAAAAAGAAACATATATTGGAGTTACAAGATTTTCAGGCAACAGCAGCAGTGGGGTAGAGTACTGAATAACATTAGTAGTTTATAGAAAAGAGCCCTCTATGAAAACATCCCCAGAACCACCCAAAACTGAACTGTTTATATCATTTCCATCTCACATAGCATTCAATTACAGATCCGATCAACTGCAGCTGCTAAGCTAACAAACAGATATCCCTACCAGCCGTACTACTGTTCGGTAAAAATTACAGCTACTTACAATACTAACCATGACCCGCCAATCACAATCTGATTCTGATATGATGCGTCTTAACAGGAGATGTCCACGAACATTGTTTGGTTATTTTCTGCTTACAGTGCTGACAGTGGTCAGAACAGCACTTGGTTTGTACCACAGAGCAAAGAAAAATCTAGAGGGAACCCAACACCAAAATTTACCCCAGTGAATAACGACTTGTTAATTAACACGGAGCCAACAAATTTAAAGGATCGTTGACAATGTTCTTTTATAGGAACTGACCATTTCTATAGTGCATATTTCCACATAAGTAAGCAGGATTTCTGATTTTTCAACAAACCCTCAACAAAAACCTACAATCATATCAACTTAGCAGCTTCAACCAAGTTCAACACGTCACCATGTGGTTGGTTACTTTATTAACACTGGGGATACTCACATCATGCATGGCTCCAAATTTAGGCAACGTAAAGGTGTGGTAGTAACACTAAACTGTAAGGTACATATATCCGAAGTCCCAACTAGGACGAAATTAGAAAGTGCTAATGAATGCATAGTTAAATCAGCAATCGTAAAGTAGATAATAGATGTATATTAATGAGCCATATTTAACAAATTGTTCCAAGAGCAGATTAAGGAACTTCTTGCTGGATCACTATACTGCTAATTCTTCAATACTATTCAGATAATACTTATTTAAGGAACTCTTCACCCCCATATTGATTATTTGTATATCAATCACTAACCCCAAATGTTTTTACTGCATGCCATGCATTAACGAAGAATCCAAAAATGGAGAAAATTTTTGCTGAAATAAAGTAAGGGGTCCAGCATAGCATCAAGCTAGCATAACATCAAACAAACTCACACAACTCCTGCATTATAGTCCAAGTCTCATTTATCCAGTCGTATACTTAGTATTTCCCAAATAAACTTATTATCACTAACCCCTAACCAATTAATGATTTATTCTGTTTTTTACTTTAGTTTTAACTAAGTTTACCTATCGCTAATTTTAACTATAATTATTCTTCATAATGCATATTGCACTCTTCCGTTGGAAGTCTTTAGAGGACAGGTTGATGTGCACGGAAATGGTGCGGGGAATGAAGCTGAACTGATCCTCACCATTTCTATTTTTTTTTTTTTTTTTTTTTTTTTTACATTTTTTGCATGTCCCCAGGTAAGGGTTCTGCTGTCACTCACCCACGCCTGTCTCTTCCTGGCCAATGAACGAGCTTGGAGGCTGGATTTCAGTGGAATGCACCTGCAGAGTTCAAATGCATGTGCTAGCCCAGGCACGTTACTTGTCCGTGCGTGATACGTTTTTTTGCAGGAATGTTTAGTAACAATTTAAAGAAACTGTATGTGTTTGAGAAGTACTGAGCATATGACTGGATATATGAGACTTGGATTATACTGCACAAGTTGTGGGAGAGTTTGTAGACATGTTTTGATATAGTTTTGCTGTTGTTTAATGTGGCCCTCATATACTTCAATTCATCAGGACTTTCCCTTGTTTTTGGATTCTTCATTCACTGAGGAGGCATGCAGGAAAAACAAAGTTTCTTTTGCGAATTCAATGTTACATGGGGTGAATAACTGATATGCAAATAATCATTTTGGAGGTTAAGTATCCCTTTAATTATTAATCAGTTAGCATTAAGTTGCTAATTTGTTCCCTACTCTGTCTTTGGTAACCTATTTGTGAAGTGGTATCACCACATCTTTGAGCTGCATTTGGAACATGACAGCCTTTTTCTAGTGCAACCCTGAAAGGAGGCGAAAAGAGGACAGAGCTTTAGTCCCTGAACACAATCCAGCCTAGGCGTACAAAGAACCATGAACGGTGAATCCACTGAACATTATTAATAATCTGTCAGTGTTTCCTCTAGATTTTTTCTTCAACTCTTTGGGTTGTTTTATGGCTTGTTACCTCAGAACCTGCACAGCCCACCTCCACTAGTCAGAGCTGGTGATGTTCTTAATACTGAGCAGCACCAGCCCTCAGGCTGAAGTGTGTCACACGACCATGTAGTGTTTGAACACAACACGTACTGCAAAGCACAGCATAAAAAACAACACATAACTAGCAGTTAAACGATAGGCACTGCTTGTTGAAATCTTTTTTTTTTTTTTTTTTTTTTTTACAGTTTTCATGCTGTTTACCTGCTGGTATATTAGAGAGCAGAGAAAGTGATAAGTTTGCATGCCAACGTTCTTTGACCCGAGAAGAGGACAATGTGACGTGCACTATTTTCTCTCCAAACTGAGTTTTTTGATGAAGACATTTTTCACATGTTTGATTTGAGATGGGTAATTTACCAATGTTCTGAACACAGTCATTATTGTTATTTCCTCAGTTGGACTTCTAACTTCACTTCTCACAAGAGTTGGAAGAAAGCTCCACTTTGATTGGCAACAGTGTTGCCATAGTTACTGAGAGCTGCATGGTATTATACCTCGCCTGAGCCGGTTTGATCAAATTGTATTACATATTGCATTTTGGCATGGCGGTGGTATTTTATGGTACATTTTGTACGTTTTGTAGAATGGGATGAAGAGACATCACACTGCACAGCTGACACACCTTCACAACACAGTGTTAGTCTTTCACTCAGCTGGCTGGTGTGATTCAGGGAAGCTATTTGGCTTTCTTTGTGCGTGTTCTGCTGACAGATTGCTAGTCATTGACAGAGGGAAGAGTAGAGAGGAATAGAAATGAAGAGGATTCACACGTCATAACCATCTTCAACACAGAATCAAACCTCTCCTGACAGCCAGGAAATAAAAACTGCTTTTAAATAGTGCTTCCATCATTTCCACGAGTTAAGGTTTAGAATTCAAATCTTTTTTTTTTATCTTGGCTTCAGGTAGGGCTTCTGGTAGATAATATGAAGCAGTAATAGGATTTCTAAAGTACAATGTGCTCAGTAATGTTGGAAATTAGCTGGAGGAGACACACAAACCACGAAGCCACTACATCAGCCTTATGCTGCGTTCCAGACAACTCAGAACTGGACACTGTTTCCTACCAGAAAAAATACGAAACGATCACAATACATGATGGTGTCTGTTACATCATACATCAGTCTTCCTCTGTTTCATTTACATAATGCAAGGAGAGTGCAATTGTGTGCACACTTGCCAAACAAACATCAGTTTGTAAAATCTGGCATCGTGCACCTGGTCCGTTTGGAGGTCGGAAATTTAAATCGGGACATTCAAACTTCTGACTTTGACTGGAACGCAGCATTACAATACACACAACCTTTGCATGTCTAACTGTGGTCTTTTTTGAGTTTCGTAAGAGAGGTGATATATGGTAATTAAGCTTTATTTGTTGGGTTGTGCAGTATTAAATTTTAACTGGAGAGACTTTAGTTGTCCTTCATTCTGTCTTGCCTTATTTTACTCTAAAAGTGACTTAATATTTTTCTGACTTTTCTTAAAGGTTCCTATAGTGCAATTGCTAATATCATTATATCTGATTATATGTTATAACTATCTTGCTGACTGTAGTTCTAAGTGGCAGCCATGTGAGTACCACAGTTGTTACTGGTTACACAGTCTTGAATGTATCGCCATGGTCATAATTACAGGCAAAATATCACTGATTGAAAGAGGGAGTGCAAACATGAGATTATAATTACAGCTTGGCCTTGTATCTATGAATCTAGCTCTTCAGTGGACATACAGTAAAGTTCTGAATTAATGGCTCCATCGAGCAGCTCCTGGTTCTGATTCTGCACTGCTGAACAGATTTTACATCTAGGGGAGAGAAACAAAATCGTTTCAGGTATTTATCTGTGGTCGTTACTGTTATTTTAATTCTGAATTTAGTTGTCAAATGAAAGATAGAATCCTAGTGAAATGTAATCCTGTCAGTTCCTTCAATTTGTGCATTAGAAAAGAGCATGATAATCAATATATATACTTATAAAGCACCTTTCACTTTGACTCATAATTTCCAACAGGACTCCTGAGTCCTGACAAGAGGGTCCACTGAGTTACCACAGACCTCACCCAGTATGAGTGAGGCAGGTCTGGTCGGGTCACGTTGTTCTGCTTCCAAAGCCTCAATGTTATTCTAAAAACGTTGCTGCCACCTGCTTATCAGCACAACATCAGTGTCTGTTACTGTGTACTTAAATCTGATCCAGGGTCAGCTTTTCCCAAACACTGGCTGTTATTAATATAATTCATTTAGAGGATCGTGCAGCCCTAGCGGAGGTATGCATTCCAGCTCACCCTAACTTAACTTGACTTTCAGGATTGTCTCTCTCCCACTTTGCCGTTCATCATTCTTCATCACTCACATGGCTGAACTTCATAAGCAGCCCACACACAATCTTTCCCATTTCATGGGTCCCTTACTCTGCGGCTTGGCCACCATCTTAAGCGAGCCTAAATAAAATGCACAAACACGGCAGACTTAAACATTCTATACATCCTTTTTATGACAGACAAGTCCATGTTGTACATATTTTAACACACACTGCTGTGTTTAAAACTATAATGCTACAAGCAACATAATAATAACTCAAGAAATAACTAAAAAATGACCTAAAAATTTTAGTTGAGTAAGAATAGCGTTAAGTGCATGCATCCATATAAAACTCATCTATGGCCGTTTGTAGTATTTTGACACACATGATTCGTCACATGGTCAAAGCCATCATACAGGCAAATGGACGGTGTTCTAGTGGCCAGTCATAGAGCTGCAGAGCCTCGAAGCCCAAACCTGAACCTGTTTAACATGTTTCCATTAGATGGGACTGAGTGGCTTGGCCACACTGGCTAAACGCCTGACAAATACTCACAATATAGTAGTAAGACTTCTCCCTGCAATAAATACTATCAATGTGTTTGCATGTATTTAATACTTAATATTAAAACAGGATGTAGACAGAGCTGAAAACAGCTTCTGTTTGTATTATGAACATTTAGGCAGGACTTCAGGCAGACTTCACGTTCAGAAATAACCTGTTTGCTTTCGCAAAGTGCCATTTTTCAGATTCACGGCAGCCATACTGTACACTACGATAGTGTTTCATTTACAACACACACTGGTGTCCACATTTTGGGACAACACACGTCTAGTTCATTTTCAACACTGTGTCACAGACAGCAACACTGTCAATGTCCACAATCACAGTAACACACACGCACGCACACACATACACCTATCAGCCAACATCTCAGCTTCAAACAGCAGAGCCACTGAACCAGATCAGCTCTATGAGTGCAATCAACACCTGGTTATGACAGGATGATGTCACTGAAAAAATCAAAACTCAGAGGAACAGTCCGACATTTTGGGTGATACAGTTGTTTTCTTATCCAGACTGAGATGATAGCATGTCTGTGGGTTCACTTCATTCTTGACCTTGGACCAATATCCACTAGATCAGATGATCAAAATGTCAAAGCATTAGACTTTGGTTATGTGATACAGGTGTTGTATCTGGATGGCCAATCGTATCACTGATGCCATCCTTGAAGCAAGATGCAAATCTGCAAATCTTTGGATGGCGAAGGACTGACTCGCCCTACTGTACACTTCCTCTGATTGGCTAGTACTAGTTGTCTTTGTCTTGGTTGGATTGGTTAGGTTTAGTCAAGAGGAGTGTGGTAAGAATGTCAGGGTCGGCCAATCAGAGGTAAAACAGTATGTTGGGCAATTCCTTCGCTAGCCTAGGATTCGCACATTTGCAACCACGATAATGATTTAGATCTCCCCTTTATATGACCACTTGTTATCATGTGACTAAAGTTTCAAATTAAAGCCACAGGATGATACTAGAGCCAACTCAATCAGCTGATAAAACCTGTGAAATGTGGTTGAATGTAATGGGAAAAGGTATTAAATGGGCCTTGAGTTCAGATTACGGGGTGCTTATCTTAGCTTAGCACAAAGCTAAGCTAATAGGGCAAACTGTAAGCAAAATATATGTTTTGTGATGCTGTACCAACTCTCAAAAAACAATCTAGATTTTTAATTGTTTACTTTTTTTTGGTTTTCATAGTGAAGCAAATGTTAATTCCTTTAGGTGCATTAAAAATCACAATATATCACCTTGTTTCCAGCAATATATTGAATCGTACATGCTGATACAAGCCAAATATGTCTGCACTGTGTGGACTGAGTGCCTGGAGGCCACTGGACGATACAGTGAAAGAGATATCATCCTTTGCATGTGTCTCAGACTAGGGTAGCAAACAAGTGTATTGACCAAAATGTCAGACTTTTCCTTTAACGTTGTAAAAACAAACTGCTGTGTCTTTAGTGGGATGGTAGCAGAGGATAAACCCAGCCTCTGCTGGAGCTAATGAAAGCTTTCTTTGAGCTTACACTCAATCTAGTATCTCAGCTTGCAGTCAACACACTGCCACTGTTTAACCTAAAACGGTGTACCTGCTACACTGGTTAATGTCAAGCAATCACACATGCAGCTTTTTTTTTTTTTTTTTTTTTTTTTTTAAGTTCTACCAGCTGTACCATGAAAAGTATGATCACTTTTCCATAATGTATTATTGTTCTTTAACTAAAGGCAAGGCACATAATGTGTTTTATGAAATATCGTGCAAAATAGAAGTTTAATAACAGGGCTATTATTAAAATCTAAAGAAATAGAGAGCCCTTCAATCCACTGCCGTCTGATGTAGTACAGAGTACAGAGGGAGGAAGGGGAGGAGGAGGACGAGGAGGAGGAGGAAGAGCAGGATAAAGAGGGAGAGGTATCATCAGTTTGAGCCATGCATTCATTAGGTCAACACAGCGACCAGGGCAGCACCATGCAGTATACATCAGCTTGAAGCCAACTTTAACCAAACCTTAAACCTCGCCCTACCAAAACCCAGCTCATATCAGCACCTTCAGTATAAAATCTGAACCCCAAGTAGACGATAACACTAACCCCAAACCCTGGGAAAGGAAAATGAAAAGACACGTGAGTTCAGAATGAACGCAAACCCAATTATAGACACGGCCTGACTGCACACAGAGTCAACGGAAAGACGCAAATTCTAGGCAGCACTAAATCACATGGAGATGCTCCTGTGTTAAAAAAAAATATCTCACTTATTCCAACACAGTTTGACACTAACATCAAAAACAAAGAGACAAGAAGAAAAACTGGAGGAAAATATGAGACCAAACTGGAGTTCCTGCTGATTTCAGAGTCGTCACACAAACACACACACAGCCAAGATGCAAACTAGTGAGGCCGTGTACAGTCTGTTTGTGTAGACCCACTTGTGACCCCCACCACGCACTCCAAATTTACTCTGTGAACCTTCAGGGGAAAGACAAAATGTTATCTTTGACTCCAGTAGGTTGCATCTTCAAAGGTGTTTTTTTTGTGCTCCCACAGATGTCTGCTTTCTGCCCGGAACGATAAAATAAAAAACCAATGAATCAATCCAATATTTCCACAGACACTGCTCTCCTCCTCTTCACTTGATTCACATCAGGTCCACAGCAGTGGTTGGAAATACTGCATTTAACTTTGGTTTCGCCCTTGAAATACATTTTATCTTCCAAAGCAGCTGGAAGACACTTTTTTTATAAAGCAAGTCAAATAATAATGTCTTGATTTCCCCCTTCTCTTTGCCCAGGAAATGCACATGACCAAATCAATTAGTAACGTCTTCAGACTGCAGAAACTCCAGTGGTCAAATTCATGTGAATAACATGAGATGAAAATTTGCTTGCCGTTCAATCTGCACCTCAACACAGAAACACCAACCCACATCCCCAGGCAACACATTTCAACAGTCTGCTTTATAGTTACAAAGCCTTGGAGGTTAAAATATGGCACAGATTATAAAATATTAGCTCCTAAAAAATCTAATTTATATTCAGTGTTTTTTATATCCAGAGAGATGGTGCACGAAATTAGCAAAAGGCCAGAGTGCACACATTCTACTACTGTTGCATTTGGAGTTTGCGTTGAATTTCACATAACAAATATCAACGATGAGATACGGTTTCATTTGATACTGCTTCTGCATTCAGATCACACAGACTGGGTGGTTAATATCCCTTAAACTGGACAGGGATTCATGTTTGGATTCTATTACATGCTGACCTTGTTAAACATTTAAGAGGATTTTAATCGAAGTTAAAATGCGGCATGAAAGATTTTAAGCCATTAAATGTCTTTCAAAAGATTACAGACTAAATTAAGCTGTGACAAGCCAGAATATTGCTTTGCCTCACTAAAGCACTGTCATAATGCAAATACTGTGTCATGGTTGGACACAAAAAGAGCGAGCAAACTCTGGTTTTTAATGCTTGATTTGTTGCTTGTTGCCAGTCGGTAAACCATCAAGGTTTGACTTGAAACCAACCCTAGCACTGTGCCTAACCTGTCCATGTGTTCATCTGAACCCCAGCCCAAACCGTTTTCACGTTGCCGTTTCACAAATCATCGTTCAGGTTGGGTTGGGATTTAGTGACACAGTTCGAGACACCTCCGAGAACACCACTTATTCTAGAGCTAGACAAGTAACCTGGATTTTGTGCTCAGTTCAAGTCAGCATGCACATGACCTGCTGTCCTCATAACCACTGACAACTTCAAGGAAAACACAGTACAGCCTGCCAGCTTGGTAACATGCCACATTATTAACTTAATCATAGTGCAATGCCCGCTATATCTCTCTCTAATCTACCTACATACAAGTACAAACCCCGTCACTGTGTTCTCTGAGACACAAACAAAATCTACACAACACCTCCTCAAAACAGAGCAGGGATGAGTGTGTAAATGCAGGAACCATTTTCACAATCTGACACGCACACACGCAGACACACACACACGACACACCACACCATGCTACAGTTTCGAACACGCTGAGTTCAGCAGTCAGTTTACTGCTGGCTGTGCTGCCACGTGATCCTGGTTTTAGCGTGTCCTCGCCGTTTCTTTGAGGCAGGTGCACGTCTCCTCCAAACACTGTGCCTTTGGCTGTTTGGATAACTACTGTCATGACAAAATGATCAGCATCTGAAGGGGGAAGAAAGCAGCAGGATATTCACGTAAAAAGACGCCCTCTGCTAAACACAGTCGCACTGGGGCCCAACTCTACACTGGTGTCCAACTGTAGCATTGTGTGTTGTGTTGGAGGAGGCTTGAATATAGCTCTTATTCCACTATTACTTGTTGTTTTCTGATAAAAAAGCACAATCAGTCTTAAAAACATGAGCTTAGCAAAGCAACTTAATGGTTTCAGGCTGATGATTGTCAATAAAAAAGACAAAGCCTCTGTCTTTTGGTGGGAAGAGAGAAAAAAAACTGCTCTGAACTCTAAATTTTCTTATCAATAACACAATAAAAAGTGCAAAAGAAACATTACATATTAACAACAGGATCTCTCTCTAGTCGGTTCAGAAAAAAAGGGAGGCTTATTTGCATATATTATAAGCAGCACCTGCAGCGGAGAGGGGCATTCTGGGTGTTGAGGGGGGGATGAGGTCTATGTCTGTCCCAGGGAGGAGGCCTTATACTGGATTTAGTGTAGAGACCCAGGGTACAGGGGTAAAGGCTGACATCCATTCCAGGGAAACAGGCCTCATCCTGGGAACATGGTTAGGTTACAGGCTTCTTAGGATTCGGTGTGTTGAGGCCTGGTTCTGGTCTGCAGTTCATCTGGACCGACCAGACATCTGCGTCGCTCCGTAGCTTTCGCTTGAAAAAACACACCTCGCGTCAGTGGCCATTTGTGTGAACCATTTAGTGTCACATAGCATAGTTCAATCTGTGGCTGCAAAATGGCTGCGTGAGAGCAGCATCCTTCTTCTGTCCAGGCTGTCTCTTCTGGGTGCATACAAATATAGAAATATATCACACTGTATATTTATATATATGTATGACCGCATGTTATGCTTCTACAAAGCGGAATATATTTTTCCTCTGGCAATGTCTTGACAACTTTGTTTCCCTTCCTCCAGGACAGTACTGTCGTGACAATCAGCTTTCCTCCAGAGTCCACTCAGTTGCCCAGATACCAGGACTGGAACAGAGACAGAGACACAGTTACCAACGACTTACACACAAGTACAAGACTTTATCAACTATCTTGGGTCAAATATTGGTAATTAAGGACACTGTAAATTATATTATTCATGATTTTATAATAAAAAAGGCTGTAACCCTGTATCAGGACATTATAAACAACACTATTAATCAGCAAATGTACTTGCATAAAATCTCTTTTTAAATGCCCTTTAAAATTAGAGTGAGTAATTATAAAGATATTGTATGTTTTATTGAGATCTTCATTCTTAAAAAAATTCAAATTCCAACTAAAGCATGTGTAAATAACACATCTACATATTTTATGATGTCTCACAGGCTCAAGTTATTCTTAATACAAATAAATATTAAACTGATTAGCTCTACTGACTATTGGTTGAACTGACTATTATGAACAGTCCTGACTTACTTGATCACACATTTAAAAAAAAGTAACTTTTCTAATTTACTTCAGTCAGTAGCATTGATACCTCCTCTGGCATCCAACCAGGTGTTTAATCACCCAGCTCAGCTCATCAGCCATTAGCCCGAAGCGTCATCTACTACAGGCCATTTACAGCAATAGACTCCTTTATTGATCCCTGATTGATTTTTGCCTACAATACAGCATACACACATTGTCTTTCTGGTGAGAGACTAATTCCTGCAGACATGATGGTCAACTCTTAACCCAAACTGTAATAATCACTGTAGGCACTGATCAAATCATGTCAAAGCAATCAATCAATTTACAACAAAAACTTGAGTCATTTGCTTTTGCACAATAAGCATGTCCCATGTGGACATCTTAACATTTAAAGGCCCCTACACCATGCAGTTTGGGGCCGTCCCAGATTAAAGTCAGGACATTCACTAGTTGTCAATCAAAACTGCAGCTCCAACATCTCACTGTGAGACATCTCAGCTGACGGCTGATTTACAGCTCTGGAACCACAAGACAGGCTGTGTCAAAATTCTGACAGTGTCAAAAATGTAAGACCAACAAAAATGTTCACAAAATGGCTGCTGCTATGACCAACCAATTGGAATATGGCATGAGCTGATGCAGACACAGTTGCAAACTCTGACATTGTGCACATACCAAATGTAGATACAGTATTGTCAATGTAATTATCTACAGTATTCTTAGCACCTGTTCTGGATTAATTTAAAATGCCGGTATTAAGTTCATTTTTTTGCTACATTTTCAACATTACAGCAGTGTCGATTGATAGTTTGAGTTTATTTACAGTGTGCCTCTGCCGTGCCACAAAACTGAAATCATACAGTACATTTTTTACTTTTATACACTCATCTGAGTGTGACATGCAATGAACTCTCAAGAATTCAGCATAAACTTTGCATTGCAGTGCTTTTTGTCTGATTGAACATGATGAAGCTGCTTTGTAGTATTTTAAATCAAGAAACTGAAACTGAGCCTGGATTTCAATCACATTAAATATCACTAACAAGTTGTGATTAAAAACCACTAAGAACTTATCTTAGGACTTGTATTGAGCTGTGACAAAGTTCAGAAATACACAGAACAAAACAGAGAGGCAGAGAGACAGAGATCACAGAGACACAGAGAGGGAGACAGAGAGGACTTCTGTCTCAGCAGTATTAGCTGAGCTGGTTCTGGATCAGAGGCACTGCAATGCAGCAGCAAAAACACAATCCAAAGATAACACAGGTCTCTTCTGTGATCAGCATATATTGTGTACTGTACATATGTTTCGTAACACCCACACAACCTATTGATATACACACCCACCTGAATCTGTATGTACCACCTTCACTGTGTACCTGCTGTAGCCACCCATCTACAGCACCCACATACCTGCAACCTGCCACTTACTGACCCACTCTCACCTACATTACAGCTGCCTGACTGATATAAGGTTTCACAGCTCAGCCTTCTGACTGAGGCAGATTGTCCCTGTCAATGTTCATTTGCCAACCCATGTTTTATTCCCAGATAGATTAGAGGTTTTATTTGTAAGTCAACTTTGTTCCCTGTCAGAGCATTTAGACCACAGAGAGCTGAGTTTTTAATTGGAAGCTATTGCACCCCAGAGAGTGTCAGTAGAAAGAGAAAGCATGCTCTCGCTTAGATGAGTTCAATAATGAAACTTTTAGAGGAAAGCAAAGCAAACATGAAAGAGCAGCTCACAAAGTCTAGAGTGGATGTGTGAAGTCATCTGCAGTCATCCTTATTTAGCACATAATTTAACTAATGTTAAAATATGGTGAAATAATCAATGCTGTGAGCACCATGAAGCAAATGTTAATCACCTCTTTTGGTTTGGTTGGGTCAACTGAATCCTTCTGACTTGATCCTGCAGAGTCAAATGAACCATACTAACCTGGGCTTGGTAGAGTCCACCTGGGTCTCGAGGGGTGACTCCAACGAAGGAGGTGCGATTGGCAGGGGGTGTCCCAGGGGCCGAGTATGCTGAGGGTGTTTGCGTTAACAACATCAGTCTCATTATGTCCTCATAATGCCATGTCACTTGCAAAGTTGCATGAGGCAGTGCTTTTAACAAAACCTGTCCATGTCACAAAGGAGCTACAACAGAGAGCAGCGTCAAAGTGAGTCACTGATTTATCCTGTCTTATACAACTCTGATTTAACTCTGCTGTCTGTTTGATCACTGCTGCGAAATAAGGTTACTTCTTTTCACTTAGCCTGCTGTTATTTTAAATTGGAACCAAGGAACAACAAAAGACAACAGAGGCAACAGACCGGATGTTAAGTCTACTTTAACTGGAGTGCTGCCCAGCTCTCTTATTGCAGGTAGAAAGATAAACTCCACCCAGCTGATATGTTAACATCTGTCCTGAAAGGTATTCCAGATTGTGCAAAATTTGCAATACCTGGTGCGATCTACTGCAGGAACTAATGAAATATAATATAAGGTGTATCTATTATCACAGTTCTGCTTTTTTTCTCCTCTGTTCCCTGCTTTCGGTACGAGTTCCTGGACTACATTTTGGCTCTTAGACCCCCTTTACACCTTGCATTATAATGTGTTTTGGGTGATCAGATTGCACTCGGGTAGTGCTCGATCACATGACGTACAGGAGTACAAGGACCCAAAATGCATTGAGGAGGGATTGGGATCTTACCGGCCAAATTGCCCCCAAAGGTGGTCGGGTATGCACTGTGACTACATCGCACAGAGGTGTAAATCTAATTGCATTTTCAATCGACAAACAACAGCTACGTGAGTGGAAATGTAATTGTGCAAGGTAGCAGCCATGAGCTAGTTAGCGAGGTAAGCTACTACCAAGAAAGTAGCAAGAAAGCTTGTGGATATTCAAGACACTTGTGGTGACTGCTTTCAGTTTGGTCCAACAAAAGTATACAAGCGAAACTTGTAAAATCATATTGTAACTGAGTCATTTCATTTGATCTGGATATAAGATGCATTTTGATGCAAGGTGTAAAGGGGGTCACAGGGGTTGCCAGCAGAGCTTTTGATAGTGACTGGTCAAGCAGTTGTGACATCACATCACAGTAAGACTGTTACATCAAACAAAACAGCTCACCTTTTTATTTATGGAGCAGAACTACTGATACTTAAAGACTATACAAAGAATAAGGGATCAGTGGGCATTCAGCGATTCATCTCTGTTTAGAAGAACAAACTGGCCTGGGGCCACCCCAGCAGGGACCTGGATCGTCTTCAGAGTACAATCTTGTATCTCATGTTTATGTAACGTGAAAGAAAATCAATCTTTTGCAGTTGTCACTTCATCCATTACAGTCTGTCCCACAACCGTTTACTCCACTCATCTCCCAAAAATAGGATCAAAAGCTTCAGAACAGCTACTAAATGGACTTTGAGGTTGGGCTGCTTTGTCAGCTGCTCTTTCCAAGGCCAAGAATGAACTTAAGAAATGTGCATAATTATATTTATATGACATATCTGAGTTGTAATGACGCACTCGGCTGTTTGTGAATAGTGGAAACACAAAGAGAGCCTTTTATCATAAGTCTTTATATTGTACAAAACAACATTCCTTCCCTGATTTAATCTTAGTAGAGATAAAAGCTATTCACAATGCTTTGCAGCACTTATAGTGATACTGAACCTGTGTAGAATGTGAATGTAAACATAAATCCTGATAATGCTGCTCAGCACTTATCTTAGCTCTGTTTTATCTGTCGGCTGCGTCTGGGCTTAGTAAGAGGAACACTGCACTTTAATGAAAAGGAACAGTTCTCCTTGAAAAACCAACACTCTAGGTTTACAGAGGCTTCTGTTTCTATGCATTCATCTTTAAATTATAGAAGGAGACATGTCGACAGAGGATAGATATGCAAGAAGCCACTCAAAGATATCTAGAATTCTGAACTACTGTAAAAAATTCATATGTCTGTAACAGAAGAATTAAAGAAAACTAGAGCAAATTATTTTATATCATACGTATTATTTTGTAATTAACAAGATGAGAAGGTTGTGGTTTGTGTCAACAAATCTTCAGTCACTGTGAAATCACTACAGGCAGCAACTGCACTGATCTGTCTTCTGATCTGCCATCTAAGTAATAACATCTGTCCGCGTCCTCTAACGTGGACCTCTAACACTGCCTCCACCTCCATGTCCTCCACTCTGAGCTGCTGGACCTGCCACCCAGTCCTGATTTCTCTTTCTCTAACTGCAAGGTGAGATACGTTCTTAGTGGTTTGTGATGTCCAGTGGGTTGTTGGGAATATTTTATGGATTGTGACTCGCTCAGTTTCTACTGATAAACCTAAGGTTATACAAAACATTTTATTGCATTTCTTTATTAATTTCCCATAAGTTGGTTTGACCTATTTTCCATTAGTAATGCAAGGCATCTTAAAGATCATAATATTTTAAGTAATAGACTATTACATTTTCATTAAAATTTGGCCCAAAAGATTTACTATGTTTAGTATAAAGTATAAATTTGTATAAATATTTATTTCCATTTAAAATGTAGACACAAACACAGTGTGTGTGCATGCTCCTCTCAGTTTGTCAGTCTGGAATACCCCCCAGGAGCTTTTACACCAGTAAACCCTTTGTGTTATCTTATCTCTGCACCTCCATTTCAACATTTTCTGTGCTTGTATGTAGAAAATAAAGGATGCCACACATCAATACATCAATACCAACAGAAGTTAGTTTTGACCACTTACTGGGTGATGTGGGGGAGTTTGCTCCCCCATCAGAGGAGGTGGTAGTGGCCTTTGACTCTGCAGACAGTGTCGGCCTGGGGAGGGACGAGGGGGGAGGAGCCAGGGAGGGTGCTGGTCCAGGAGGTGCCAACATCTGGGAGGAGATGTAGTGACTGGGCACTTTAACCTGGTTGCTGCCATTCAACTAGAAAAAAATTAGAAAGACAGACAACAAACATATATTTTACATGGGTTGCAATGCTGCTATACTTTAAAGGTACAGTTCACCCCAACAGGCTGTACAGATGTCTGCCTTCTCTCAAAGATAATGGAACAAAATGGCACTTGGCTTGCGGTGCTCAAAGTGCCAAAAAAAGTAAATAAATATATTTGAAAAACTCAGCAGTAACGTCTCTTTCCAGAAATCATGATTCAGTTTCTCAGGATAATCCACAGACCTTGTTTTGAGCAGTTTCATGTATGTTTTTTTCTACTAAACTACACCCGCCAACCGTATCACAGCATTAATGTTTACATCTCGCATTGTCAGAAGCATAGGCCTCTCGTCCGTACACACCTACTTCTGTGCTGTGACACGGCTGGTGGGTGTAGTTCGGTAGTAAGAAAATAGTTCCTTTTGTCTTGAGTAACTGGGTCGTAACCTCTAGAAAAGAGACATTGCTGTTGAGTTTTTCAGATGGATTTTTTATGGTGCTTTGAGCACTACAAGCTGAGTGCCATCTAGTTCCATTATATTTGAGAGCAGGCAGACATCTCTACGGCTGATATCTCCAACACTCAGTATCTCACATCAAAACAGTCTAGACTGATAAACAGCACTACGGGTAAGAGGAAAAACACAAACTAGACAGCTGGTCATTGTTGCCTTACTTTATACAGCCCACACATTGTTTGAATTAATTTGCACTCTCAAGCTGAAAACCCTTTTTAAACAGTTTTCTATCATGTTTGCAACTCTCAAGGAACCTTAAACTATGATTACTGGTATGTGTAGACAGGAACTAACAGGGAGTGGAACATACATGCATACAGGTACTACTGACTTGCGTTAACACTGCGTGGTTGTTTATGTAGAACTTGTGGAACAAACGCCAGTCCTCAGATTCTCCACAAGGGGGAGCTGTAGGATCTTTGACTAGTTCTACAAATGCCCATCTGCACCACATAAAGGAAAGTGATAGCAGCAGCAGTGGAAACCTGAAAAACATTTTAATGTTGCCTCAAAAGTCAAAACAATATTAGCTGCTGCTAATACAATAACTGAGCCACCTGCAGGCGATGAGCTGCAATTTCTTTGCTCTTGTTATTACTGTTTCTTCTGTTTTCTCTCCATCTTTCTTTGTGTCTGTTTGTTTAGATTTTACAATTACAAATTCCATGGCCTGTTGGCTAAAATTAAATATAATAAAAACAAATTTTTATGCCACACAAACTCACTTATCTCACTCCAGATAGGTAATACTTTTTTGAGATTTTGCAAATGATTTTGTAATTTCTTTACCTTTCTAACAGACATCAGGTTGTGCTGTTCAGGCTTAGTTGATTGTAGAAATTTTACAGGTAGGATTTGTTCAGCAATACCTGTTCTGCCAACTAATATGTTGTAGTTTTTAGTTTAAGTTGTTACGTCAGTTAGCACAAAACACAGGTTTTTATTGTCTTTTATTGTGATTTGAGCTTCTGTCAGAATTGTAACAGACTTTACTTTATTTATCTGTAGATGTTACACGTTGGTGTCTACATTTGCAGTTCTAAATTGCTGCTACTTGTACACCTATGGTACTGCAACTGGCTGGTATTGGTTAATATACATAGCTAGAGGTTGGGTGGATCTATCTGCAAAGACTGAAGTATAGTTAGCCAACTAAAGTAATAGTTGTGTTCTGTGACATATTCTTCTTAAAGCTGACCCTTTACTCTGATTGTACTCACTGAGCTGGGGGTTTGATTGGCAGGGTCGCACGCCAGCGACACCAGATCTTTTAGGGGGTCCTGTGCCAGGTGAGGAGGATAGCGGATTGCTCCGTGGGGGAAGTAGGACGAAGGCGGGAAATGAATAGATGACGAGGGGTGGGGACTTCGTGACAGACCTGGACAGAAAGAGAAAGGAGACACGAGAGGGACACAAGACCCAACACAGTAAATTACATTTTGTTCTCGGTGTTATCCTTCTGGGAGTTAATTATATATACAGTATACTGACCACTGTGAACAGCTATAACTGGCCGGTGGTGCTGAGTAAAGGAGCCCAGTCTTGGTGAGTCTTCCTGGGGCGAGGGACTGTCCATCTCTGCCTTCTTTACTGGAGGAGACAGACCTAAAACACACACAAAAACAGAAACACACATGCGGACATCTTTATTGGTACAAGCAGCTAAGGCACTGGAACCCTTTCATTTGTTTAGTTGTTGGTTTAAGGAGTGACATAACAGCAGCTGTAAATCTAATGTAACTAGATGCCTAAGACTTGAAATGAAGAATTAACCTGGATTTTTGCCTCAGATCAGTACCCACCTCAAATATACAAAATATTATGGACAATAAACAGACAAAAACATGTTAAACTGGAGGAAAAAAACACAAAAGCATAATATTGGAAGAATTGAAAAGTAGTTGCATTATTTTGAAATGACTATGCTACACAGAAAAAGACAACATGCTATGCTAACACTAAAACTTCAAACCTATTACATAAAAGTGAGAGGCCTTCTCCACTACCCCAGCAGCTCCACTTCAGCACATAGCCATCTAATGACACATCAACTGTGCTGAAAGCAAGTCAGTTACAACTACACGCTCTACAGTCAGCTGTGCATTGCACCACAATCGTAAAGTGGCCCAGTGGGAAACTCCCACAACTTCAGACAAATTAGTGCCCATGCTCTGAGGTGCCATGTAGGGGTTAATTAAATGAATAATGGTTCTTCTTCCTGACTGGGAAAACTCCAGTCATGTTAGACCATAAGCGAGGGCCAAAGCTCCCTCTTCACAGCATCACTCTGGTACAACACAGACTGGGCTGAGGCCAGATGACTATCATACTGACTACTGACTACTGATGATTGAAGAGATGATCAGCGATTGCTAATACTCTTGACAATTTTAAGATCATGAAATTATTAACTAGCAGGTTGGGCAAAACGTTTGACAACAGCAAAACTATATCAAAACATCTATTTACAAACTCTCACACAAGTTATGCAATATAATCCAAGTCTCATTTATCCAGTCGTATGCTCAATACTTCCCAAACACATGCATATTCAGTAAAGGCTTATGATTTAAAACACTTCTGACTATGAGCAGTGTGCCTGAGACTGTTTGTACTGAGGTGTTTTAAATCAAGATGTTATAGTGAAAATGCATGTGTTTGCGAAATACTGAGCATACACCTGAATACATGAGACTTGGATTATACTGCACAAGTTGTGTGAAAGTTTGTTTACAGATATCTTTATATAGTTTCGCTGTTGTTAATCATGGTCCCCATTTACTTCAATTCAGGAACAATGTTTCGCTTTTTTGAACTCTCTGTCACCATGGAGACAAACAAAATTTTCTTCACAAATTCAACACAACGCGTGGTGAGTAATTGATATACAAATTATCATTTTGCAGGTGAAGTATTCCTTTAAGTCTTGTTTTGCAATGGAGGGTATTTTAATTAATCAATGGTGACACATCTGCTCTGTGACCTGATACAAACACATTCCATTTTTTAACTATTAATCATCTACAGTAGTTAAACTAACACTGAGCTGTTACTCACTGAGCTGAACCAGAGCTTTGTGCGCTGGTGTCTCACTCAGTGTCACTGTGTTGTGGTCAGTCTGCACTGCTGTTGCTATATCTTGTGTGCTCTCATGTACATGCCCAGCAGCTGAGCTGTCACTTTATAGAAGTCAACACCCACATGCCTGCTGACAACACACCAATCCCCCTGTCCAGCCCTAACCTCCATCTCCATCATTTGTCAGTATTACAGGCAGACTCTTTTGTGTAGTTTGGCTTGAGTTATAGTAGATTGAGTTTCCTGTTTGTAGACCTCAGCTCACTTTTCTTTAACAAGCTGTTATTCCTTGTCTCATCCAGATATGAAAGTTGAATTTCTTTTGTGAATAAGGGTTGTTATTGCTGTAGAGTTTCACTGTTCTGGTAGGGAAACAAAGCTACACACGGAACTTTAGGTATGCACCTGCGTTAAATACTGAATGACCTCATCAGTTTTTTGAAACGGTGCTCCATCCAGAGTTTCACAGAAGCAACACTTGACAGATTTTAAATGATCTTTCTGTCTGTTTTGAGATGTCATGGTACATATTGAATATTATTGGGAAGTTTGGTAGACAGCTTTGTGTGGTTAGTCAGTGATGACTGATTCGCTGTCAGAAAGATTATATCTGATTATATCCATGAAAACTGAAGCAAACTCTTTGGGTAGGTGGAGTAGTCTGTGGTCACAGATATTTATTAATGTATATCAATTGATTTGCAAACTGTGTTTGTAAAGTGAGGGATTTTGCTTAAAGAAACACTCCCTGTGAGTGTCTTTAAAAAAGTGGGAGGTCAAATTTATACTGTGTATGTTTGTTTCTGCATTGGCACATGAGATGATGTTTAATGATGTAACCAACTAAGAATAATACAGCTACTAATGACTTAGCTTTAATTGTAGATGAATTTATTTTTTTTTGTCAGTGTTGGTCCTGGCTTGGTTAAGGACTAGTAATACAGGTGATGTGAAAAGTAAAGTTATGAATGTAAATTAATCTATGTTTATAGGGGGAACAGAGGGAAAAGAAATTACTGACACAAGTAATTTAAGATTAAGAAATCTGTAAACTGGAATCATAGGTTTGATTAAAAACATTATTGAGTGTGTGGTGAAACCACTTAGACATATTTGTATTCAGTCTTTACAGTCGGCCAATAAGTAAAGGTGTAGATAAACATGCACTCTCAAATTACAGACCTGTTCTCTTGCCTCCACAGTTACTACATACTGGAAAACAATATAATTCTAAAAGAAGTAGATGGATTTATCACAAAACGATCTACAGTGTGAACTGCAACATGGGTTTAGAGATGGAATGCCAACTTTGTTTACACTCATGGAAACTGTGGAAGAAATAACAACTGCCATAAAAATAAAGACTATGCATTAGGGGTATTCCAAGATCTAGGAAAAAAAAAAAAACATTTGACACTCTTCACCCTGACTTACTATTAAGGAAATTAAGTGGTAGCACTCTCTTGTTTAAGCAGCTACCTGGAGAACAGCTCAGACATCAGTATGTCCAAATAAATAACTTGAAATTACATCTACTGTATGTTACTTGTGGGATTCCCCAGGGCTCAGTGTTGGGACCACTGTTGTTTATTTTGTATATAAATATATGTGAGGTTTCCAAAATACTAAAAACTATATTATTTGCAGATGACAGGCGTGCATTTTGTTGTGGTAAGTATTTGAAACAACTTTTGGATATAATAGATAAAGAAATGAAAAGGCTAAAGAGTTGGTCTGACTAACAATGAATATAAATCAAACAACATTTATAATCTTTGGGAATCATTTGACAAACTCAAACAAGAACTTCATGATAGATGAAGTAAAAGTTAAAATCCGAAATTAAATTCTTGAAGTATTAATAGATAACACATTATGCTGGAAACTATATATAAATTATACCAAAGCACACTGTAACCTTTTTTTACCACATGCTAGTGATACAATGGCATGCTAACGTAGCTATGACACCCTCTGTCCTGCAACCCTGTTACCATAGAGAGGGTGTCAAACGTGGGAGACAATGCTTTCAGAATGTGAATACCATATTTAGTTACGCTCATGATTTAGTGATTAATGCTAATATGTCTCCCAGTTCAGACACTGGACACTATGAGTCCTTTTCTTGTTCTGTTACCTCCTTCCATGTCATCAGTCCAGTTCCTGGAGCTGCTGGCAGGAGAGGAAGGTGAGTGGTAATACTCCCCTCCTGGACTGTCAGCCTCTTCCTCCATAGAGCCAGACTTATGACGCTTACTCCTGCAGACACATATACAGACACTCAGACATCTAGGTTCATGGTTTCACAGTGCACTGTGTGAAGTAATGAAAGCAGAAAGCTATAAAATACACGTCCAAAGTGTCTTTTTAAGTAGTTTTGTTGGCGTCAGTGGCTGAAAGGGCTTTGGCAACTACAGGACAAGAAAAAATGTGGAGAGTAAAGAGTGAAGCACAGCCTTCAGTAAGCCTGTATACAGATGTATATTAATAAAAGTTGACATCTATGCACAAAGAACATTGTCTATAGATTGTTTCATTGCCATTCTGTTCCCAGGGCAACAGCTTTGGTCACGGCTTACTTCTTCTCAGATACTGCATTAACAAACAATCCATTAGGAAATACAATGGGACCACTTTTGAATGTTTATGTTGTCAAGTTTGAAACAGCCCATAAATAAAGCTTCGGAGTTGTTTAACCTAATACACTTATTTTAAAAAAGGAGTCCCTCCAGCACTTGAGTGTTACACTTCAATAACGGTGGTAGAATCCCAAAAGACAGATTATAAACAAGCCAAAACAGCCTTAAAAAAAGGATCCTACATTTTCCATTAAGTCAGCATCTTCCAAACACAACACATCTTTCACAATGTCAGTTTGTAACACAGACTTGATATAAATGTGTAGTCTTCGAATGGTGATTACCCGTGATGACATCATGGCTGTTTCACAAGCTGATTAGAACTTAGTATGATCAGTTAACTGACCCTAATGTATCAAATCTGTCACTTTAACAGGGTTGAAAGAAATTGCCAGTGGCAGCAAAGTGATTATTGAAAACTGGGATTTTTTTTCTACGATGTTTGCTTTCTACCATCCCTTATGAACAGTAGCTACAGGACTGTGGGCTGGCCTGGCTATGCTATGGTCATGGTAGGTAACTTAGCTGTAAGTGTATTCATTGGAGCAAACATTAAGACAGCATAATAGTTAAGGCTTGTTAGTCCCCCACACTGTCGCTGCTATTTGGCTGTTACTGGGACAGACTGTAGCTATGGGTGTGATTGTAGCTGTGTTTATGACTGTACCCATGGCATGGATATAGCTCCCTGTGGTTGTAGCTAATGCTACAATAGCTAACGTGTAAGCATTGCGAATTCTGTCACCTTGGACACTGACACTCACTTAGTGTACTGCTAATGCTGAAATGTCCAAGGTGACAGAATAATAAGTATTTACTACATATGTGTTTTTTCATGCATGAGAGATTTATACATCAAAATGTCCTCCATTTTATGCACGAGAAGAGCTGCTAATTGCATGGAACATGACTACCTACACAAAAGCACATGTACAGGTCTTGACCCCAGATAATCACTGCTTCAGTTGATCATCACTGACACCCCTGTGCTGCAGCTCTGCTCCCATTTTACCACAAGTTTAATAACACTAATAATTGCATAACAGGCAAGAAAACATGTCTGTGTAGCTAATGACAAAAGCACTTTGCCACTGTAAGTTTTACAAATGGAGAAACTCAGCAACAGTTTACAAAATCAAGAGTCAGATGAAACTACATGTAATTTTCTTTAATTTTCTTTGACTATCTCCTTCGTAGGTCTAATCTTAACACTTATCCTTACCAAAAAAAAACATCTTTGCTCAGCTGAATTGATTCCAAGTGAACCCCATCCATCCATCCATCCATCATCCATCCATCCATCCATCATCCAACCAAACAACCAACCACCACCTCTGTCTTATTTCAGGGCATCCTCCCTGTTAGGATGCTGCCTGCACACTGTTGAGGATTTGCATTACCTCTTCAATCCATTCCCACTCCTTAGTGATTGGGACACAATGGGTTTGAGATTGTGAAGACTGTAAACGACACATCAATAATGTCTTCCCTATTTTGGAAAAAACAAAGCTGCATTTGTGGAACCTTTGGATAGGGACATCCTTGTCAATTGTCATGTCATATTTGGTTTAAAAACACAGACTTTTAAGGAATGGAATCCTTAGAATGGGACACACAGTGAGAGAATTTCTTTGCCAGATTAGGAGATTTTGGATTTTGGCTGGCCTAACTTCCTTAAAAGGATGTTCAAGGGTCTTGGGTGTAACTAAGCTTAGTATTCATGGTAAGGGCTGACAGTCATAATTTTTAAACTTGGAACTGGGAAAGGATTAATTAACAAAGCCGGTTATGTACCTTCTGATGTTCTGATGGTAAACGTTAGTACAAGGTAGTTGTGTGTGTGATTACCCGCTGGATGAGGTGCTGGCCAGTGATCGTCTGAGGCTGACTGGCTGGTTGACAGACTGGTTGAGGTCGTAGGCCAGATGACCCTGGAGCTCCCCCATAGAGAAACTGGGTCCTACTCCTGTGACTACTGGAGCTACACACACACACACGCACACACAAACACACATATGAACTATTGAAAATATTGAATATCAGCCTCTCAGTATTTGTGCTTCTATCATTGAGCTAAGTTAACTGAAACTGTCACATAACACATAATGCTCATCAGACATCCTAATAAGCTGCATGGCGTTTTCTTTCTTTTCTCCCTTATTGTAAAAGTGTGAAGCAGATCAGTTGTTCATTATCCTGATGACAAATATACGGGTTGTAGAGCAGCAGGGAGCGGTGCATCTTACAGTTCAGAGCAGCAGGCAGACAAAGGCTGATACCCCAGATGATCACATTCAGATGTAAAACACTAAGACACATCTGATTAGTTTACTTTAGTATGCAGCAGACAAATCCCACAAATGAGCAGTCAGAAATCAAGGACTTCACTTGGCTTTCAATTTCAACCTGTCAAAAACACCATGGTAACAATGATTTGGTTGCAATAACATTTTTGTTTGGTGCAAGCCCATCTTCCTCACTGTGTATTCAATTTACATTCACTGAGGTGAGGGGAACAACACAGCTGACGTTGTGCCAAATTTGTGTTTATGCATATCACTGTACTCTTTCCCTCGACAGGTCCAAGGAGTAATTTCCCTCCAAAATAATCCATGAATGTTGAGCAATGTTCATGTCAAATGTCAGTAACCAGTTTCTGACTTGAAAATGTTCACATCAACATCTGAGTCCTTAGTATGACTGGGAAACTTATATTTTACAAATCTGATGTAACATAGAGCTGTGCTGTCAATGCTCACCTGGCCACCTCTACACATATATCATCTGACACGCTAAATGTATCTGAAACTCATAAATAAAGGGTTGGCGTTACAATCAGTGGTGGTAGTAGGTTGGGTAAAGGCTAAAGCTAATGGTAAACTGGACTTACTTCTTGAGACCTGGACCAGCTCAGTGACACTGAAAACTCCTGATGTCACAAAACTCTCCTGGAACTCTGGACCATCTGTAGAAACAAACACACAGCATTTAGACACTAATGCTGAGTGTGTGTGTGTGTGTGTGTGTGTGTGTGTCTGTGTGTGTGTATATCATTAGATGTCCAATCATACAATTTGCCATACAATGATGCTAAATGGTTTGAATATCCTTAGGGACTTGGTATTCATTTCATCAATCACATCAAACCAAGTTGATGGCCCATTTATGTAATAGGTATTTATTGCATTTGTTCGTATTATTGAAGAAACCGATAAAGACAATTAACAGTAAATGGCTTACGCACAGGCAAAAATGTTCAACCTTGTGCATGTGCATGTACATCACACAGTAATGTGAAACAAAGTGCATCTTCTTATGTAATCAGAATATGATCCTATTATAGAAGATTCTTTACACTACCCATGGTGGCGGTTCGACTGTCCTCCTGATCAGAACCCACTCCTGTACGACTGGGACTGCTGCTCTGCTCTGCCTCTGGAGAGAGAAGAGAGAGGTTTGATTATTTATTAATAAATCAGGACAATGTTAACAAGACATATACCCCCATCACACCGCGGGCTCAACCAGCATTGATTTTGTGTTCAAAAGAGTTTGCAACCTAGAATGAAAGGTGGGTCAGACAAGGGTTTGACAGGGGTTAACATCAATGTGAATCACACACCACCGGGGTGGCTATCAACCAGGACAGGACAAATGATGTCACTGGTTGCAAATGGAGGATGCACAGTCATGACGTAACTGTCACAGTTCAGTGGAGCAAGTAATGGTATAGTGGCAGCAGGAACGTTTTCTTCTAAAGCTACCATTTGAGCAACATGGAGATGTGGCAAGACTTTGAGGTGCAGGAGCTATCGGCCATCTGTGATGAGGAAGAGACAGTGAGGGAAAATGAACATAACAAACCGTACAGAGAAATAGGTCACAAACAAGTTGAAGGTACTCAAAAAGCAGTACACTTCAAGTAATCATAACATTACAGGCCAAATCAGTTGACAGTGTTTATTGTTGTGATGTACTAATATACTGTGCAAGGAGGAATTTAAGTACAAAACACTAGTTCTAATTATGACATGTAAACGCCAGCCTATGAAGTGACTAGTATGCATCGCTCCTGGGTTGTGACTCAGGTTGTATCTTAATTGTCAGACCAGGGATTAACCAGGGTGAGCTGGCTTGGTTTGAAATGACTAAAGAAGGGTTGAATATAGGTCAGATAACCCCTGGTCCGACCCTGGTCATTGTTGAGAAAGAAGTCAGTTACCAGCTGATTGATGTGAACAGGCAAGCAAGGGTGATGAACCCTTTCTCTGGATCCAACCACTGTCCCCAATCCATCAGGGTTTCTCTTAGCTGGTTACAATTCTAACCAGTTTGTCTGAAACATACTTTGGTATCATCGCTGTCTCATGGGGCATTCAGGTGTATCATGGTCTAGGATGTGTACCAAAGGATCACAGTGTACCAGTTTGAGTCCAGCTGAAGCCTTTGAAAATCATTAAACACTGTTTCTACAACACAGCCAGATAGCAACTGGTTGGTTGGTTAAGGAGTGGTAACAGTGACACTGCAGCAGCAGGCAGTGGCGGCTTCGAGATGATAGAGACCAAGCTGATGAAGAATCAATCACTGGTGTTTTTGGTGTTTTGGGATCTTGTCTGACATTGTCTGGTCTTCGTATCCTTCAGGTTCTGCCCCGCTAATGAAGTGTTGCACATGTTTTATGCCAGTAGAGGGCAGGGCATACTAATACATTTTACTACTGTGACTCATTTTCATGGTGGACATTTTGACTTGTCACACAGCTGTAACTAACTTTTGTAAAAACATTAGTAATGGCTACTTTCAGTAATGTGTTCCAGGTTATGAGCAGGCTGGCTCACTGGTTTCTTACTGGGACACTTGAATGGAACAAAAGTCATCATTAATGTGACTAGTTTCAGTTGTATCACGCTATAAGGTCTCCAGTGAGAAAAGCCTGTTGATCTAAACCAAATCAAATGCACCAGTACATGACTAATGTGTGAGTAGGTGTGTCAACAGATTGCAAAACAAGTACTTGAACTACCAACCACGCTTACAACAGCACAAATCTCAGATTTGCAAATCCTGCAGATACAATATGTGCAGACTGTCATGAGTCAAGCATCAAGTTTACTGGCTTTCACCACTGAATCACTGAATTACAGAATGACACGAGCAAGTGTTCAGGGAATGTGTGTGAACACTGTTTCAAATCCAGAGCCAATCATCATTACACTGTTGGTTCAGTAAGGTCTCGTATCTAAGTACTCCACTCAGTTGTAGCTGTGCAAGATTACACTGTTGTTCTGGCAAAACATGAGTTGAAGTCATTTTTAACACTGGAAAGTATTTGTGTAGCTCTACTTGTGTAAAATCAGGCTACCCAGCCACATGAATTTTTTTTAAACACATCAACAGAAAATATTGCAACTTTGTATTCCACAAAAGTGAAAAGTATTTGAGATCTGGCCTACAATCCACAAACTAAACATGCGACAAGCCTTTATTCAGTTTTTGGAGACGTACAATCCAGCAATGTCTCCAGTGTGCTTTCAGGTCAAGTAGTTGATTCACATCACATGCTGACTGTTACCAACAATAACATTACTGTTATTATAATTATTTTATTGCTGTAATTTAATGTCTTGAAGAAATGGTTTGATATTAATAAATTACTATAATACTATAATTTAATTGAAACAAATTTTATAACATTTGGAAATCGATAAATGAGTAAAAATTATGATAAATGATGATGAAATAGAATGAGTGCAAATAAATTTCTGGGTGTGATAACTGATCATAAATTATGTTGGAAACTTAGCCTGGGCGTTATCTAGTTTTTCATATCTTCATACCTACCTTCCTACATTTTACCAGGGTATATATTGTATATGTTGGTATCTGTGGTAAAAAAAAAAAAAAAATACTACTGTGATAGAACTCATTGTAGCATGTACGTCGTTGTCTAGCCTACAATGCTGTGTTTCTAATATACCATTAGCCTTTTTAGCAAATTCTTGCTGGGTTTAAATACTTATGGCCCATTGAATAAGGAACAGATTGTAGCTCAATGAACTCATCTCAAGATAAAGTGATTCAGTATGTGGCAATACTCCCAAACATGGGCAGAGGCATTTTCTTTTTCCCAGTTCTGTAACATCATCCTCACCACTCGCAGTCGCCATCTTTCTCAGCTCAGCTGCTTGTTGCACCAGTAAAGACTGACCTCTGGTGGCACCAACTGTGCACTACATCACTTCAATACAGCATGTCCATATCAGTTTAGTAGAAAAAAGAGCATCTGTATTTGACTATTTGATCTGTATGTATCTGACTGTTTTGTAATCAAACCTTAAGGATTTCTAAATGCCCTGGTATACCATAATACCTTGATACCACACAAGCCCATTGGAAACCACACATAAATAATGTAAAAACAAAATCGTCCAAAAAAAAAAAAAAAAAAAAGCAATAAAACTAAAGATATTGTGTATACTGAATTATGTTCTCAGAGTTCCATACATTACCTACTGCGTGGGGGAACGGAAACAATCATGCTCCACAAGAAAACCATAAGAAATGTAAATCCACTGAATTATTATGAACCAATGCATGTAATTGAATTACATGCTTTAAAATTTTGTGATCTAGTTAATGTTAAAGGAGCAGTGTGTAAGATTTGGTGGCATCCAGCAGTGTGGACTGCAGATTGCAACCAGGTGAATCTCTTCTCGTGTGCCAAGCATGAACTCCTGGTTAGTGATCCCTCAGTGTTTATTGTTAAGGAGGTTTTTATTGGGAGCCGAATTAACTGCAGAGGTCTCTTCCTCTCTAATACAAATGGACCTGCTGATTTAAACCGGTAAAAACACTGAATAAAGCAGTTTCAATTTACGAATCAGTGACGGTGTTTGGCTTGTCACAGACAGGCTGCTAGCCCAGTGCTGGCTAATGTGTACTCATCTTTTTTCTCTGACGTTCAGGAGGTTTTTACAGGGAGTCAAATTATCCACAGAGGTCCCCACCTTTCCTAAACAAACAGACCCTGTGATTTAAACCGGTAAAAGCACACAAAAAAGCAGTTTTACGAAGAAAAAAACAGTGTAGTTGACTTTGCAAATAAAAAAGTTTCAAAATAAGGTGGTAAACAAATATAAAACTGGGGTTTGGTTATTATTGTGCATAAAATGTTTTGTAATTTTGCTATTGTTTCTGGTTATACTGGATTTGCTTTGTTGTTGTTTCTTTGTTTTTTTTGTGTTATTTTGTTTTGTATAACCTAAACCTAGTAGTGAATAAGCTACTCATGAGAATATGCTCAGTAAAAAGGGTAGATATAACAAGCTTAAGCTTCAGCCATCACCTTTTCAGTTTATATTTTCTCTTTTCCTTTGGTTTTACTTTTAATTTGATGTCTTGTTATATATTCTTTATTAGGTCCATTCCTTTTGGAATAACAACTGATATAAATTACTACTACTGTGTTGTGAAAAAAAACTTGTCTGCACATTTTGAGTTTACCGCATTAGAACCGTTAGAAACACTATGATTTTTAGAGCACTCTTTGAGAGTGTGTGTTGCTGAGTTACAGCTGTCTCTACAAGCACAATACTGAAAACACAGCCCTGACACTGTGATACCACTGTGAGTCAGTGCTGGCCCTCAATACATCCTGCTGAGAAACCTCCACTCTTCCCCTAGCTGGCTGTTGATCATGTTTATTCTGCAGTCAGTAGTTATTTTATTTACTGCTGCAGAGAATTGGTGTCACTAGTCACTGGTGCTGTTGTGTCCGCTCTGTTCCGTCCCATCAAACTGCTGCTTCATTGTGTTAGTGAATGAGACTCCTACAGCTCCTGAAGCCACAATATAAAAACCAGATGTGAACACTGCGTTCTTTCAGTTGTTTTTGGACTCAGCTCGTAGCTGCATTAAACATATTTATACAAATGGTTTCAACTGACCAATGGGAAAGAAGAACTCAGTCCAGAAGTTCTCAGCTAGCAGCAGCTCTGAGTATGATTCATAACCATCCACAGCACTTTGAGAATCTGTTAGAGCCACTCATCATGATAGAAAGTAGCTTCTTAGAAATTCTCCACGTTATTTCAGATTTGGTGTGAATACTTGTGGCTCAGTGTGGATGATTCCCATTTCCCAATGAATCTCTGACCTTTCGTTAAGCCACGTGGTTGGGGCTAAACTTCATCATGGGATACTCCTGTTCCCATTTTGATGAATCCTGATGTCTTTGTCTATCCCTTGGTCTTACTATAGCGCCACCATCAGGACATTCTTTAGCTACAGGGCCAGTTAAGTTGGCCTTAAGGGTGGAAATGTCTGTCAGTCAGTTCACCAGTTTGATGCAGACTTAAAATATCTCAACACCTACCAGATGGATGTGCCTGTACTTTTATAAAGTACTCAAAGTACTCAGGAACAGCATAAAT